ATCTAGACCTACATGATGGATATGCCCCCTCTGGCAAGCAGTGGTAGATGAATTTCAGGCTCCTGACCTGCTCACATATTTTTTCCTAATACTGTATTTCCCCAGACTACCATTTCTGATGCAGTAATTCCTAGAAACTGAAACCTGAAGAAAAGCAGTGCCAACTATAAATTAGCTGGAAACAAGGAGCATCATGCTTCTGCTGCTGCTTCAGCATTGGGTTGTCTTACTGAGTGGCATCTGAAGCTTTGAGATACCAGGATATCTCTTTCAGAAAGGCCAGTGGGAACCAGAATGGACCTCATCATCTGCAACAGTGAAGAATGCAGAGTGGTTTTCTCCATGCCTGCAGCTACAACTTGCTCAGAACTGGCATGGCATAACTTTGCTGACAAATGGATAAGTTGCCTTTTCTGAGCACATTAGGGAATGATGTGCATGTGTTTCATGATGCTCCTAAGATCAGTTCTGACAACAGAATTTCAAGGGGTCTTGGTACACATAAGACAATGTCTTTCCTCTTTTCCAGTAACTGCTGTGATAACTGTGACAGTATCTTCAGCATAGAAATATAACACAAACTGATCATCCCAGGACTGCAAAAAGATAGCCTGTATCCAAAAAAAAAAAAAAAAAAAAGCAACCAAAGCTCAAAAACCTAATTCAGGAATAGAACTCTTAACAGCATCCACATACAGCAGGGAAATTGATATAGAGAAGGTAGCAACTCTATTTTTGTAGAAATGTATTTCACAGTTGTCAAAGGAAGAGTAAGGTGAGCTCATGAATAACTGCTTTTGCTTGACCCTTTGACCACCAGACTAATCTTTCGCTATACATCCTGCAGCAGTCTGTAATAACTTCCCCATCTTGTTTCAGCAGATATATTTTAACAGCAAAGCACAAGGAACAAAATCTTCTATTAAACTCAACAAATCTCAATAGCCTTTGTGCTTCACCCACAAGCCACAACCTAAATTACATGAATTGGCCTTTCTCAATATGTTTGCAGTGTCCCAAAATGTCTTCCCAATTGTATGAAAACTACATCAGTTTTTCAAGGAAGAAGCTCTGACCTTGCAGCTCTGGAGGGCTATGAGCCAGTCCTCTGTGCTCTCACAAGGAAATAAGTTTATAAAAAAGCATGTTACAAACTGAAAAGCTAAAGGAGACTGGGCATGGTGGGTGTGCGCTGCAGAACACTATGGTAAATTATCAGCTCTGCTACGGAACTCCTCAATGACCGCATGCATGTTATACAGTCTTTTTGCACTGCCACTCCTTTCTCTGGTGGTGGTGGCAGCACAACCCCCATCTCACAACGAAAGGCTGGAACAAAACAAGTGAACAAAACAATCAAACAAAGCAATCTTAAGGGTTGTGAGGTACTGAAATACAAAAACAATAGAGACAAGATTTATCTCAAACTGATTTTTAGGTTCTGCGTTTCTTCAGACTTCTGTAGGATTCTTCATTCTGAGATTCCCAACCTTTTTTTATGGATGCTGCTAGCAACAGTGAGTGCTACATACAGCATCCTGATTTTTGCTGCATTGAAAATCCCCTTTGAAAGGCCTCAAATCACAGTTTAGTAAAGCCAGCTATAAACCTGAGTAAAGCATCTCGCCTCCAGGCGTGATCACCTGTTCTTCACGGGCAATTAAGGACTGTGTCTGGGTTCAGCTGCTGAGCATCCAACTGGGACTGTGCTCTGGGATTTTCTCTGGCAGCCTCAGCTCTGCCTTCCCCAGCACAGCTGCGGTAGGGGTAACTGCAGCTCCTGGCCACATGCTACACGGAGATGACTTGTATGCCACAAGTGACACGTACCACACCAGGGCTTTACCATGCTTGACTAAATCCTTTAGGCTACTTCTAATACATAACAGTTCTCAACACTGCACACTGGCAAAATAGCTTTTACAGACTGCTGTTATTATCTCTGCTCTGTATCAGTGGAGTTGTGGGATATATTTTGATTTAAACAAGTACCTTTGTGATATCAAACTCCAGTTTCTGCCAGCTTATTTGTCCAACATTTAATGTTATATGTTCCTTAGTTTGAAATCATAGGCTTTAACCCCAAGACTGAATGAGGTACACATGTCGTGCAATGTTCAGTCTCCTACTTGAACAGGGGTACAGCATTAGGCTTGCAGGGCTATCCTGCTTCTTACAACCCTGCTAGCTTACTCAGAGAGTAAGATGTTTCTAGTGCACCTTGATTTTCCCAGACTTGTTTGCCAGATTTTTCAATTAGAAATATTTGGGGTTTGTGATTTTCCTTGAATTCTGTTTGGCCAGCTTATAGCAATGGAAACAAGTACAAGTTATAGCCATGTCTATGTGCTTTTATTTTTAAGCTGAAATACTGTTTTCAAACTGTAACAATTTCAAAACTATTGAAACGCTGAAAGTTTGTGAAATTTAAACCCAATTCTGAAAACCAGTGGAGTTCAAACATTTATTTCCTATTTCTTATTTTTTCCCATTTTCAGTCATTTCTAATCAAAGAAATGCTAAAGAACATTTAAACTTGATAAATCCATGCTAATATGACAAGGGCTAAGCCTTGTCTGATCTGGCAACCAAGGAGAAGGTGGGAGGAAATCTGAGGGAACAGCCGGAGTGAGAAGTGAAACTGCAAGACCGTGAGATGGTGATCAAAGGGAACAAGGACTCCCAGGCACAGTGAGAAAAAGCATTACTGTCCTGGAGAGATGAATGAAAAAAAATCTGTAAAAACACAGGGTCCTCTTTGTCGGGCTTTTCCCCCAGCACTGTTCGGAAGAGTTGATTTTTAACTGTTACCTTAGTTCAATTCAGACAGTTTCATTTGCTTCCTTCAGTTTGCCTTATCTCAAATAATGCCCCAAGCTCTAGAGTGCATTTCAGTGTACACTGGGTGTAAATACAACAGCACATATGACCCCATTTTAGTGACTATCCAGCCAACTGGATGCCCAAAGATTAACAAGCTGATGTTTGAAAAATTTTTCATCTATGAACCTTGAAAGGCAAACACTACAGCACCATGTTATTAAGAAAAAAAATCAACCAGACGAGATTTTATTGCTGTTGTCAACAACAGTCCCTAAAACCACCTTTCAAACCAGCGGATCATTGTGTTTTAAAGCATAATTAGTGCTGGTAATTTTTCTCTTAGTTAAAAAAAATCCCAATACAAACCCAAACCACTTTTCTCTATTGCAACAGTAAAAGTTTGGGGTTTTTTTTTGAGTCATTTTCTACTGTAAGTTGGAGCATAAAAATTCTTCAGGTATGGCATAGATAGATACCAAAGCGACAAGATGGAAGCCATGTAAATTAAAAACAAACACACACAGAGAAAAAATCCAAACACAAAAACCTTGCAAGCCCCCAAAACCAAACCAGCAGAACAGCCTGCTCCTTAATTCTGAAGTGCTGACATTGGCTGTTTTTTGCAGCTGCCACACCTCCGTGCTGTCCCATAGCTCTCATTCATATATTTTTTTTCTTGTGCTGAATGGAGTAGAGACACAGTTTCTGAGCACATACAATATTTCAGGTGATAGAACAAGATCATGGTGGGAAAGGGGGGGAAGGAGCGCTCTTCAGTAAAGCATTAGAAGGCATTTTGGAAGACTTCATCACTTCCAGCTAAAGCTTAAATTCAAATGCCTTAAGATCCTATTTCCTTTTCTGCTCCTGATTAAGTTAGCCACCTGCTTCTATGAGTAGCAACCATGGTTTGTGTATAGTAGTTTCTATGTAGCAATAATTGTTTTTAATGTTCAAGAAGGAGCTGTACCTCTCAAGCTGGTCCAGAGATAGGCACACAGAAAAAGAATCAGTGAAGGGAAAGAAATAACTTGTACAGGGCTTCAAGATCCACTCCAATCAGGGCAGTGGTTGGTCTATTATGATGACTGTGGTCTGAGCACTCTGGAGGAGCTCAGAGAACTTGTGCAATGCTTAGGCAGCAACATACAGGAGCCAGTGGAGAAGAAAATCGATGAGGATAGTTGGAAAGCAAGGCAATATGAGGTACTGCAATGGAGAAGAAAAGATTTAAGGAGCTTTGAAGATAAGAAAAGCTGGGGGTTCAGTGACAGATCCTTCCATGGGAGCAGCACAAATATTGGCTGAGAAATTATTTTAGCTCTTATGCCTGAAGAGTGGAAGTATCTGTCCTGGAGCAGAGAGAGGGCTAAACATTATTCTGTTATCAAGGTGGGACTAAGTATAGGCCTGAACACTGTCCTGTGCAACAAAGATATGTCATTCAGACAGAGATCTTCCAGTATCTACCAACTGCAGGGAAAAAAGCAATTAAAAAATGTACAGTTTCATCCTCAGCAGTGAAGAAGGAGGACAACCACGCTTGTTTAAAGCCAGTATATGTGTAACATTTAGGACTAGTGATATAATAATGTATTTTTTATTGAGAGCATCAAAATGGGGAATTTCTCTGGAAAGCCTGGAGGAGGGGGAGCAGTATAGTCACTGCTTGAAATTCCTCTCTATGTGCAAAGCACAGGCAAGACCTTCACAACTGAAGTGGTACATTAGCCTCATGTTGTGCAAGACTGAACTACTCCTCTGCACCTTATAGACATATGAATAAATTATGATTAAAGCCAAAAGATATGCCTTGAATGACTTTTTGAGATTATTTTTTATTATTTAAAAAAGACACAGAGATGTATTGAAATTAGAATAAAAGGATGATTATAACATAACTGCCTCTTCAACAGGCAGGAATTGACAAGTCACAAATATTTTCCTGTTTAGTCAGATAACTTTTTAAGAAACAAAATCAGCTCTCAAGTGCTCTGAAGCCAAGCATAACCAAACCACCCACTGACTTATGAGTAACTATAGAACTGGCTACCAAGTGCAACTCCGGTAAGGTCACTGGAAAAAACTGCTGACAAGCATGACCTTTATAACACTCAGCTAAATAATTATAGAGCAAAATTCAGCAGAAAGGACCCAGCCAGGATTTTCACACTTACCTTAGGAAATATTTGCTCAGTTTCTTTTTGGGGCTTTGTGTGCTCATGACAAGGAGGCGAACATTGGCAGCATGCCGACCGCTGTGCTCTGGCTGGGCACTGTGGGCAGAAGAAAGCAAGCAGTCAGAAGGATGCGTTTTCTAAATGGGACAGTCAACTCATGATGGTTCATTTGCCCCTTGATGTGCCATCCTAAAATGTATCTTCATGGGGGAAAAAGTAACTTAACAAGCAGGACTGGTTTAGAGATTATATTTTCCTTATTCAAGCCAATCTCCATTTCTTTGAAAGAAAATGAAGGAAACTTCTGAACAGGACCACGTTCTGGGATTTTTCCATATTTCACTCTTTTTACCCTACATATGTTCTTTCTATTGGACTGTATTCTACTCTCATTTACCTTCAGTGGAAGTAGAGTAATTGTCCTACTGTCAGTGAAATCTGTCCAGTTTTACATGGCCATAGCTGAAGTAGCCCTCCCATGATCTCTCTCAGCCAACATGAGTAGAAGTTACTGGCCAAAGGAGGCGCTGATCCCTCCTTCTATTGCTTGCACAGCTATGTAGTAAGTTGTATCAGATAACCAGCTCAAAACTAACCTGAAAAAAATTAGGGTGCAGAGAGGGGAGATGATTTTCCTTCAGGCCAGCACCAAGGTCTGATTCTCAGCACAGGTGGCCTGAATTCCAAAAGGAACACAAGCAGAGAAGAGCTGGAGGTGACACCTTCGCTTTACACAGCACACTCATATCAATCCAACATTCTAGTGAAACTACACTCCTGGTCTAGTTCACAATTAGGGGAGGCAAACCAGGAGAAGAATAAAGAAATACTGAAAATGTTAAAAAAGGATTATTTTTTCATTTTGTTTGAGCTCTCTGTACTGGCTCACTTTGGTGTCAGACAAGTACTAGCAAGAGACCAAGGACAGGAAGGGGAGGGGAGCAGGACTTGGCAGCAATAGCTGTTGTATCAGCTTAGCTGTAGCACCAACCCATCACTTAGAGCATGTGCAGTAAGCTGATTGTTAACAACAGCAAAACCTCAAAGCTGTTGAAATGACTTTTTTTCTTTCCTTACCAGCTAGAAAATTACAGTGGTTCTTTCTGACATCTTTCACAAAAGGTGGGTATACATGAAGGTACAAGATCTGACTCAGAGACCAAGAACTGAAACAGTAGGTCTTGGAAACAGAGATTTAAAGCCTTTTTCAGGCCACCTTACCCCTCTTTCGATAGAAAAAGGGGGAGATAGAGAGGACCCTAATAATCTCTGCACAAAGGCCATTCTGATGAAATCTTAAACACAGTGTTTTTTCTCCAAGTGGCTGTTACCTTTCATGAGACCTACAGCAGAGCAATTGCACTGGTTCATTCTTTGTTCTCATAGCTTCCTCTATCTGCTTCAAATCACTGTTGATCAAGTGCCTGCTACCTGCAGGTCTCGGGAGCGGTGTACAAGAAACCCTATGCTGGTGTTCCAGAAATGTCTGGATCTGGCTGTGCTGGAAGGAGTGTAAGGTAATTTGCACGTTTTCACTTCTAGGCATGAACTGCAGTTGCAAAGGTTCATGACTGAGGCAGCAAAGGAAACCTCAGCCATGAGGCAGATTTGATTTGGATCAGTTGATGGAAAGTATCAGGCAAAAGTTTGTGTCAATACGTCCAACTATTTACAGACTCTTAGATGAAAAAGCTTATTCCAATGACTTCTTGAATAATAACATGATGAATGGAGTCAGCAGCTGCAACAACGGTGTGGATGCAGTGCACTTAGATTTTGTAATGGGTCTGATTTAAAATTTCCTGTGAAATTCTGCACTTTCTAGCGGGCAGATTTAGAATAACTAGACAGGCCAAGTTCAACCAGAAAAGATCCTGAGCAACATGGTCTCGATCTGAAGCTGGAGCAGAAGTTGGATTAGAAACCTCCAGAAGTCCCTTTTAACCACTACCTTTTTAATGCTTCTAAGCCCACATAGCTGTAGATTTGCTCCAGTCACTTTAACAGAGATACCCCACTTCACTTAAGTACTTTACCAAGAGCACTTACAAATGATAACAGCTGAGGTCATTACCAAAACCAAATGCCTCTCTGGACTACCTGCTTTGGCCAAACACCCAGTCACTGCCCTGTCAGTGTGACAGCTGGGTGAAGTACAACGGACTCTTGAACAGGAGACAGGGTCAAAATCAGTTAGGCCCTCTTTGCCTCAAGACGTAATAAATAAAGACAGGATTAGATGAAGAGCTGTCAGGGAGAAAACACACTCTAAAGTCTGATTATTGCTCTTCAAACTACAGAATTATTTGTCTTTACCTGGAGAAGAGTTTGTGTGCCTCTGAGACCATCTCCTCTTTCCAGCTGGCCTAATTAAAAAAACATACAGGCAATCTTGTCTGTGTCCTGACCATACAGAGCAGCACAAGGTGCGACTGAGAGGGAAAGTAACTACAAACATCCCAGCTACGGCAGGCAGATTAAGCAGGAGGCCAGCTGAGCAAAGAGAGAAAGCAGCAGACCAGCCTCCTGGACCCAGTGCCAGAGGTTAGCTATATAATGTACTTTGCAAACAACAGAAGTCCTTGTAGTTCTCTTCCTGCTGAAACCTCTTGCAGCCTGCAAACAAGAGTTAAAGCAAAGAAGAAGAGTAATTTCCAGTAACCTTCACAAGCGTGTGCATCCCATAGTTTTTTGTCTGTTGCACACAGCCTTAACTTCAAGACTTTCATTGCTTTAACTGGGTGTGTTCATTTTGACAAAACAGAAGGTAAGGAGAAGTCTCAGAGAGAAGACTTTCATTATAGCTCCACTTGTTTTTGTTAACGTAGTAAACATGGGAGCATTGCTTTAATTTCAGTCATGTGAAAAAGTAAAAAGTAAAATCTTGTCTCAGTGCATAACTATTATGTCCTTAAAAAATTGCTAAGAACTTGTAAGATAAGTAACAGTTGCATTTCCTGCATGCAGGAAACAAGGGGAAAAAGAAGACATCTGAAGAAGGAAAGGATCAAACATTCTATCTAGCTTCCTGACAAAGAGGAGGATGAGTGAGAATTGATTTTTATGCTGCTTGCTGCATGGTCCTGCAAGTCAATGCAGATCCCTACTACTTCTTGCTTCAGATCTGTTTCAGGAGAGATTTTGCACCCAGCAGGCAAAGTGTGCCAGCACTGGAGTGAGCAGTGTTATCGGGTGTCAGCTGCAGCACTCTGATACATCCTTGAGAACTAGCACATCATTAGGGATACTTTCACAATGGAATGTGTGGGTCCTAGGTCCATATGTCAGACAAAATGGAGGATGCTTTTAAGGAGAAATTAAAAAAACTAAAACAAAACCTTACTACAAATAACTTTTAGCAACTGTTCCTGTAAGTGCTGCTTTTACATTTGATTTCAGCACTATTACTGAGATACTCAAAAAGCATTTTGATAAAGTGACTCTGTATGCTCTTCTGGTTAAAAAAAGAAAGAAAAAACTCCAAAACCAATCAATCAAAAACCCCACCACAAGATGTAGCTGTTTGTTTGAAAAGTGGTCTGGAAAAGAAATTAACATGGAAAATTTTGTAATGCAACACGGTGTATTAGAGTTATAAAGTCTGATGCTCTCATCTTTGCACCTTGGGCAGTCATTGCCACCTCCCTGAATTAGCAGCAGTTTACACCTACTTGCACTGATATAAATGACAACACAAGAGCAAGGTGATAGGAAACAGGTCTACAACATATAGCCTCAGCCAAACAGACCTGCACCCCTTTCACAGAGCAAATACATTGCTCTATGTCTAAGCATATATTACAATAATACTAATAAACTATGTGGAATTACATACAACATAAACAACAATTTTATACACTAGACTTATAAGAGCTTTGTTAATGACTGATATTTCTACAAACAATAAAACACCCCTGTTTGCATATTGCATTCTAAGTACATTTTAAAATAAGTCAGGATTTGTTTTTTGGCACAGCTGAAGCAGGACCTGCTCCCACTGCAGCTATCTTCATGAAGAAAACACAAGTTCACCGCAATCAAGGAGGCATCACGGCTCCTGAAGACCACTTCCAATTCCTACAGGCAAGTACCTGTTACAGTGACTCAGCTTCAAGAGCACACCACTGTAAGATGAAATACCAGACTCCCTGACCACACTGGCATGTGGCCTCAGCTGTTACTCTTTGTAAACTACATGGCTGAATGACCCCAGGTTTTCTAAGAAGTGATGCTGTGGTTTGCTTTTTCACCTTGAGGTTGCTGAAAAGCATGAAGACCTATGGTGCTCTCCAGCCTTCCTTACCTGTGCTGCTAAAAACAAACTGACACAGGCCTCCCATTCTCCACAGCAGTCACCCCTCCTGCGGTGGCAAGAGACTGCCAATATCATATCCGAGACTCCCCCACTCATGGAAACATTTGTGGTTAACAACTCTAGATTTTTTTCCTGATTATCAAGTTTTATTCCAGACATAACTGGAAATACTTAATTTGAAATGAATTCCTAAGGACCCCTCTTACAGAATAGCTATTCAGATTATCTCCCTGTATTAGCCCTGCCTAAAGAAGCTTATTTCTTCACATTGCCAAGCATGTGAAAGGAAGCCCGCTGTTGGAAGAGTTACCTGTCTATTCACAATACCAGCTCCTTTGCACCAGTTGCCACATGGATTGCTTTCTATCCATAATCCACCTGCTTCATAACCAGCAAGCTAATACTGTGGGGCTCCCTTTGAGTACTTTTATTGAAGAACATTATGCTGTTAATGAAGAATAAAAGTGAAGTTCAAACCAAGGCCAAATCCATGCCCTGTCTCTGATATGGGAGGCAAGGGGAGGTCTTTGCTTCAGGCAACATCATTTCACTTTAGGATGAACCACCTGAAATGTTGTAAGCAAACAAAGATTTCTCACTCCCAATCCACAAACTCCATTTTTATAGATCTATCCTATACACATGCTTCTCTTGTTCAGAAATCATGTACAGTACCTGAACTTCATCCAAATTCTTTGGCATCTGCTGCTCCACATCTAACTCCGTTTGCTGCTAAGGTTATAGGTAACTATATAACACAGTGAAGTGAATATCAATACAT